AAATCTGACAGATGTTTAACCCCATCACTGCCAGGAGCCCCGTGAGATGAGACCATTAACCCCTTCCCTGCTGGAGGAGTTCAATGCAGAGTCAGGTTAACTCTTCCATTGCTGGGCCGCCGCTTTAACTCCTCCTCCACCAAGCGCACCTCAGATCAGTGTGAGACGGCCACACACGTTACAATCCGTACAATCGTGTCGCTGGCCTCGGCGGGGGTTGTTGTGTGTTTTGCGTGTTTTCAGTCGTGTGTCAACGATTCAGCTCCGTGTAACACGTGTCCGATGGAGGCTTGACATGACAGAGACGGCGTGCAGACGTCGGTGATTGTATAGGCCGGCCCATGCGGTGCGAGGGACGATCTGATTGGATGGTATGGGAGGGACGCCCCGGCTGTGCGGTTGTTTGGTAAAGCTACAAATGGGGGACACACACGTTACAATCTGATTGCACGTTGTCTCTGAGCGTTGCCGATAACGATGGGGTGCGAGGAGCCGCCCGATCAATTCATTTATATATCTCATCGGGGGGGGTCCTCATAACGGAGATTGTACAATCAGGTTGCAACGTGTCGCCACTTTAAGAGATTGCATGTAGATCAGAGGTGGGCAGCTCCCGCCCTCCAGCTGTGCTTTAACTACAAATCCCATCATGCCTCTGTGAGTCATGCCTGTAACTGTCGGGCTTGTCATGCCCGTCCCTGATGTAGATTGTGCAATCGGATTGTAACATGTGGGAGTGAAGCTAGAAGAAAATGTTCAATCAACTACAATGTATCTAAAGCTGGAATGTGGGGGGATTGAACTCCCCCCATCTGTGTCCCCGCTGGGGGGATTCACCCAATAGAGGGCAAATCTTCCAGTGGGGACACCTGTTCGGGTGACAACTAAGAGGCGATATCTTCTGGTTTGTAGAGATTTTCACTTCCTGTCGTGTCTCGGGGACAGGAAGTGAACGGAAATCTCCCAGGTGTGATACAGATGCATACTTAACAACTTTATAGTCCCAGATCCCAGGACACTGGTAACCACGCCCACAATCTGCATTTCATCCGCCCACTTTCAGGGTGGGCCCTGGTAACCACACCCACCATCTGCATTTCATACGCCCACTTTCAGGGTGGGCCCTGGTAACCACGACCACCATCTGCATTTCATACGCGGGTGTGCCCGAATCATGCCCACTTTGTTGGTTTGTCCCACTCAGTCTCCGCCTCTAAATTGTCTTTATGGGTTGGTCTCATCCAGACCCTACCCCTAATATGCAGGGACCACTTGTGGCCCTGATCTCTGTAAGAAATGCTGGTTTGAGTTGCTGCACATGTGGTGAGTAGTGATGGGGCCAAACAGGACCGGGTTCGGTTCGAATTCGAACTTTAGAACATCCAAAAAGTTTGGACTCAATGCAAGTCTATGGGGGAGGAGGTGGGGGGGAGGAACTTTCACAAACAATTGTCCCCTTTAAGAGGTCTTCTATGCAAGTTATTGGCCATAAAAAGGTGTATGGGGGTCCGGGTACTGCCCTGGGTATGGGGATCCGGGTACTGCCCTGGGTATGGGGATCCGGGTACTGCCCTGGGTATGGGGATCCGGGTACTGCCCTGGGTATGGGGATCCGGGTACTGCCCTGGGTATGGGGATCCGGGTACTGCCCTGGGTATGGGGATCCGGGTACTGCCCTGGGTATGGGGATCCGGGTACTGCCCTGGGTATGGGGATCCGGGTACTGCCCTGGGTATGGGGATCCGGGTACTGCCCTGGGTATGGGGATCCGGGTACTGCCCTGGGTATGGGGATCCGGGTACTGCCCTGGGTATGGGGATCCGGGTACTGCCCTGGGTATGGGGATCCGGGTACTGCCCTGGGTATGGGGATCCGGGTACTGCCCTGGGTATGGGGATCCGGGTACTGCCCTGGGTATGGGGATCCGGGTACTGCCCTGGGTATGGGGATCCGGGTACTGCCCTGGGTATGGGGATCCGGGTACTGCCCTGGGTATGGGGATCCGGGTACTGCCCTGGGTATGGGGATCCGGGTACTGCCCTGGGTATGGGGATCCGGGTACTGCCCTGGGTATGGGGATCCGGGTACTGCCCTGGGTATGGGGATCCGGGTACTGCCCTGGGTATGGGGATCCGGGTACTGCCCTGGGTATGGGGATCCGGGTACTGCCCTGGGTATGGGGATCCGGGTACTGCCCTGGGTATGGGGATCCGGGTACTGCCCTGGGTATGGGGATCCGGGTACTGCCCTGGGTATGGGGATCCGGGTACTGCCCTGGGTATGGGGATCCGGGTACTGCCCTGGGTATGGGGATCCGGGTACTGCCCTGGGTATGGGGATCCGGGTACTGCCCTGGGTATGGGGATCCGGGTACTGCCCTGGGTATGGGGATCCGGGTACTGCCCTGGGTATGGGGATCCGGGTACTGCCCTGGGTATGGGGATCCGGGTACTGCCCTGGGTATGGGGATCCGGGTACTGCCCTGGGTATGGGGATCCGGGTACTGCCCTGGGTATGGGGATCCGGGTACTGCCCTGGGTATGGGGATCCGGGTACTGCCCTGGGTATGGGGATCCGGGTACTGCCCTGGGTATGGGGATCCGGGTACTGCCCTGGGTATGGGGATCCGGGTACTGCCCTGGGTATGGGGATCCGGGTACTGCCCTGGGGGACATGTACGGGGGTCCGGGTACTGCCCTGTCTCTGAAGTGTGAAATGTTGTATCAGCGCAATGTGACCGCTCCATCAGAATCCCGACATCTCCGCGCAGTTTCCAAGGCGATGTGCAATCCCCGAGCAAATATTTACCCCGACGCCTTCCAAGGTACAAAATGTTGAAATATCGCGATTCATCCGAATGATGTTCCATTGTCTGCACAGTACCACTTCCCTTGTCCCGTATGCCGGGTGTCATTCTCGGTATCCAATCAGAGTGCTTCTGTGTCTTGTGATCACTGTGAACCAATCACAGCGATCACAAGTGCAAACACAAGATGCAGACAATCCCCCCCTCCCCCCTCCCCTCCCCTTCTATCTCTGCCACAAACCCAAATGATGGCAGCACCATAGTGCCCACTGGGGGGGGGGAGGAACCAGTGTGGAGACCTGATGCCAGATACAGGGAGAGTCCATCAGGCGTGGGGGTTGTGATGGGGGATTGATGGGGGTGCTCCTATGTCTCGTGTGGGGGATGCGATTGGTGGTTCTGGTCTTTGGGGTGCCCACTCACCAGAAAGGGGTCATTTTTGGGGGTGTCGTATTGTGCCGCCATTTTAGAGGTTCAGGACACGAAACATTTTTGATATGCGATAACGGTTATTAGTTGTCACCAAAAGAGAAGCAAGGAGAAGATGTCAGAGCCAAACTCTACAGGCCGGTACTCAAGGGGTTAAACTCTGTAAGAAGGAAAAGAAAGAAGAATACAAAGTATGAAAAGGAAACAATAGAAGGGAATCTCCAGCGGCAACTAACGATGAATCGCATAATAAAAATGAAATAAATCCTTCAGATAAAATACACGAATGTTACAAAGTAGACTTCAGAATAACGCGGCACGCGCAATTCTTTGCAGCCGCACTGCACTGGAAGGCACAACACTGCGGTACCGTGCGTCCCGGGCGATCACAGTGAATGGAACTGCGACGCACCTCCCGCAGCAGAACGTGTCCGGCCCAAAAACCGAAAATGACTTTTTCCCGCCTTTTTAGGATTGTAATGTGAGCACACGGCGCGGGAATCGCTTCAGCCCGGGAATGACGGCCGCCAGTGGGGAGACTCCGCAGGTGAATGTAAATACAGCGGGTAGTGGGCGGGGGGAATAGCTAGCCTGTTATTGGACATTTCAAATTGCTATAGCCAATAGTAGGCTGGTTATTGCACCCGCCCACTGCTTGCTCTGGGATCCCCCCCCAGCATGAAGGAGAGAGCTAGGCGACCCAACCAACTAATCCATGAGAATAGTTGACAACTCCTCTCATTAACAGATTCATCGATTAGTTGGTTGCAGCCCTAAAAGAATCATAAAGAGGGAAGTATGAAAAGGAAACATTGTTGCAGAGTTGAGTGCGGAAAGTGCAAGACGTGTGGGAAGTATTGGAAGTGCAGGACGTGTGGGAAGTGAAGGAGGTGCTGGAAGTGCAGGACGTGTGGGAAGTATTGGAGGTGCTGGAAGTGCAGGAAATGCTGGAAGTGCAGGACGTGTGGGAAGTATTGGTAGTGCTGGAAGTGCCGGAGGTGTGGGATGTGCAGGATGTGTGGAAAGTATTGGAAGTGCAGGACGTGTGGGAAGTGCAGGACGTGTGGGAAGTATTGGAAGTGCGGGAGGTGTGGGAAGTATTGGAGGTGCGGGAGGTGTGGGAAGTATTGGAGGTGCTGGAAGTGTGGGAAGTATTGGAGGTGCTGGAAGTGCAGGACGTGTGGGAAGTATTGGAGGTGTGGGAAGTATTGGAGGTGTGGGAAGTATTGGAGGTTTGGGAAGTGCAGGACGTGTGGGAAGTGCAGGACGTGTGGAAGTATTGGAAATGCGGGAGGTGTGGGAAGTATTGGAAGTGCAGGACGTGTGGGAAGTGCAGGACGTGTGGGAAGTATTGGTGGTGCTGGAAGTGCAGGACGTGTGGGAAGTATTGGAGGTGCGGGAAGTGCAGGACGTGTGGGAAGTATTGGAGGTGCAGGACGTGTGGGAAGTATTGGAGGTGTGGGAAGTATTGGAGGTGTGGGAAGTGCAGGACGTGTGGGAAGTGCAGGACGTGTGGAAGTATTGGAAATGCGGGCGGTGTGGGAAGTATTGGAGGTGCTGGAAGTGCAGGACGTGTGGGAAGTGCAGGACGTGTGGGAAGTATTGGTGGTGCGGGGAGTATTTGGAGTGATAGAATTCCGTTCACTGAGGGTGAGACGTTGTCACCTCGGTCACATCTGCCTATGACAGACGGGGGGACATGTGACACCGGGGAGGCGGCTCTGGTGTCTAGGTGACGGCAGGCTGCCAGCTGTACCATTTCTCAATCTCCATGGCAGCACGGCGTTGCCTGCCATTGGCTGTCGGTTGCTATACGTTACCCGAGGTGGCTTGCGTCATCTTCTCTGAGCACCTTCTTGTGTGTGACCCGATGGCGGGGAAGCGCGGCGCTCGTCTCCCTTCCTGCAATGATGAGGAATCAGATAACCGGAGGGGGAGGGGGGGGCGGCCAGTGACGGGTCCTCGGATTACCCGTTTTGTGCCAGATTCCCTGTTGAGGGTCTCAGGAACATTTTAGCCTCTGACTGTCGCCGGCACCAAAGTCGCAGGAAGGAAGCAGCGGAGAGCGCCGGGACGTCCTGAATTCGGTCAGCGTTTCACCGGAGAGCGTTTATAGCGGTTTTGCCGGTCGGTGTCCGGAGGAACTCCGCGTTTCCTGGTGACAACGGGAACTTCCTTCCTTCTGCTGGAACAAGAATTCTCTATAGGAGCTCATTGAGAATATGCGTCGTGTTCAGACGCAGTCATCGAACGATCCGGCAACGCACGAAGAAATGCACCAACAGCAGCGCACCGCGGCGTACACATGGTTCCTGTGTGCATTGCGTACGATGAAACGCGCGTGCGTTGTAGGCTGATCTAGGTGTCATTGGATAAATGTCACAGCAACGCACTGCACTTAGGTCTGTGTGGGGGTCATTGATAGGGAGGTATAGTTTGTATTGGACCTGGGCCCAGAGGACAAAGTGCCTGTCCTTATACAGGCACTTCCTGTTATAGGGTGACAACGCTCTGTCCTTGTTCAGGCACTTCCTGTTATAAGGTGACAACTCTCTGTCCTTGCTCAGGCACTTCCTGTTATAGGGTGGCAACACTCTGTCCTTGTTCAGACACTTCCTGTTATAGGGTGACAACACTCTGTCCTTGTTCAGACACTTCCTGTTATAGGGTGACAACACTTTGTCCTTGTTCAGACACTTCCTCTTTATAGGGTGACAACGCTCTTTCCCAGATTCCAAATTCTACTCCTGTGTTGTGACCCTTTTAAATGGGCTTCCGATGGAGACTACAACTGGTCAATTTAGCACACATGGTCTACTGTTGTCACCATCAGGAAACTATACCTGAGAAATGCCATGGCAGCCGCCACTGGAGTGCATGTAGACAGGAAGTGGCTGCACAGAGGGTGTAGGAGATCAGCAGCCCTGAGCTGTAACAGAAGATGAAAACAAGGATTAAAAAAATAACAGTGAGGCCTCATTCACACAGGAATCGGCCGGCACGTACAGCTCCGCGCGGCATGCACGGCCGTATCGGGCGGCTCCCGGGAAGGACATGTGCTGCAGCCCCTATCCTTCTCTATGGGACTACGCCGCCCTGTGCTCACCCCAAGTGCAGGTCCGTGCAGGTGTCCCGGCTCGGACGCAGACAGGATCCATCATGTCAGCGTACGAGTATGGACACCCGCGCCCGCACGGACCTGCACTTGGGGTGAGCACAGGGCGGCGTACTCCCATAGAGAAGGATAGGGGCTGCAGCACATGTCCTTCCCGGGAGCCGCCCGATACAGCCGTGCATGCCGCGCGGAGCTGTACGTGCCGGCCGATTCCTGTGTGAATGAGACCTTAGAGACGAAACAAACCGAATGTCATCCAATTTTAGGCTACAGAGAATAGGAGGAGAGACCGAGAACAGAGGGGGAGGGGCTGTGTCTGCTCTCTGTGGTGCAGCTGTATGATTTGTTTTCTCCCAGACCACAGATAATGAAGATCGCGCCTCAATCACCGCCGACTGCCAGGAACGGCTCCTAAGGTCTTCTAACACGTATTCTACCAGCCCGGCGCACAGACACCTTCCACCTGCCCCCATCCCCTTCTGCTACATGGAGGACGAGGTAACACCACGAGTCGGGAGGTCCTCCCCTTCAGTCTTCTATCTGACCTCCGTCCTTCCCTTCATTCTTCTATCTGCCCTCCGTCCTCCCCTTCAGTCTTCTATCTGCCCTCCGTCCTCCCCTTCAGTCTTCTATCTGCCCTCCGTCCTCCCCTTCAGTCTTCTATCTGCCCTCCGTCCTCCCCTTCAGTCTTCTATCTGCCCTCCGTCCTCCCCTTCAGTCTTCTATCTGCCCTCCGTCCTCCCCTTCAGTCTTCTATCTGCCCTCCGTCCTCCCCTTCAGTCTTCTATCTGCCCTCCGTCCTCCCCTTCAGTCTTCTATCTGCCCTCCGTCCTCCCCTTCAGTCTTCTATCTGCCCTCCGTCCTCCCCTTCAGTCTTCTATCTGCCCTCCGTCCTCCCCTTCAGTCTTCTATCTGCCCTCCGTCCTCCCCTTCAGTCTTCTATCTGCCCTCCGTCCTCCCCTTCAGTCTTCTATCTGCCCTCCGTCCTCCCCTTCAGTCTTCTATCTGCCCTCCGTCCTCCCCTTCAGTCTTCTATCTGCCCTCCGTCCTCCCCTTCAGTCTTCTATCTGCCCTCCGTCCTCCCCTTCAGTCTTCTATCTGCCCTCCGTCCTCCCCTTCAGTCTTCTATCTGCCCTCCGTCCTCCCCTTCAGTCTTCTATCTGCCCTCCGTCCTCCCCTTCAGTCTTCTATCTGCCCTCCGTCCTCCCCTTCAGTCTTCTATCTGCCCTCCGTCCTCCCCTTCAGTCTTCTATCTGCCCTCCGTCCTCCCCTTCAGTCTTCTATCTGCCCTCCGTCCTCCCCTTCAGTCTTCTATCTGCCCTCCGTCCTCCCCTTCAGTCTTCTATCTGCCCTCCGTCCTCCCCTTCAGTCTTCTATCTGCCCTCCGTCCTCCCCTTCAGTCTTCTATCTGCCCTCCGTCCTCCCCTTCAGTCTTCTATCTGCCCTCCGTCCTCCCCTTCAGTCTTCTATCTGCCCTCCGTCCTCCCCTTCAGTCTTCTATCTGCCCTCCGTCCTCCCCTTCAGTCTTCTATCTGCCCTCCGTCCTCCCCTTCAGTCTTCTATCTGCCCTCCGTCCTCCCCTTCAGTCTTCTATCTGCCCTCCGTCCTCCCCTTCAGTCTTCTATCTGCCCTCCGTCCTCCCCTTCAGTCTTCTATCTGCCCTCCGTCCTCCCCTTCAGTCTTCTATCTGCCCTCCGTCCTCCCCTTCAGTCTTCTATCTGCCCTCCGTCCTCCCCTTCAGTCTTCTATCTGCCCTCCGTCCTCCCCTTCAGTCTTCTATCTGCCCTCCGTCCTCCCCTTCAGTCTTCTATCTGCCCTCCGTCCTCCCCTTCAGTCTTCTATCTGCCCTCCGTCCTCCCCTTCAGTCTTCTATCTGCCCTCCGTCCTCCCCTTCAGTCTTCTATCTGCCCTCCGTCCTCCCCTTCAGTCTTCTATCTGACCTCCGTCCTCCCCTTCAGTCTTCTATCTGACATCCGTGTACAAAACTTTCACCCAGAATTTACAACTAGAAAAATGTGTGAATCTTGGGTGAAAGTTGCTGGGTGAGAGACCATCACGTCGCTGTCATGTGATCAGATGAGGACTCTTTGATCTTATTATTGAGCGCTGTGAAGGGCGTTGGCGGTGTACAGCGCTCCGGTATGCGATTCCACATTCGCCGCAGTGGCCCCGCACGCCGCTATAATTTCACCCGCGGAGGGCCGGAGTGAATTCCCATCAATTGATTTGGGTGAATCTCTGCAGGTGAACAGACCGGACTCATCTATACGAAGTTCTCCCATGGACCTCCTGTAGAAGCGTGCGTTGAATTGTAGAATTCGCCATCCCGCGATTCCCGGCGTCGCCGATTTTCTTCTTCAGCCTTTTCATCGCCGCGAAACGCGCCCGGCCCCCAGCACAAACCTCGCCGCTCCTGTGTGGGCGCTCATTGTAGACGCCGGTGATGCATTGGATGATCGTTTCCTGGACTTTGCCCAATTTCGGAGATACATTTGGACCTCGCTGCTACAAAGTACTAAAACAAATGATAAAGACAAATGTAGGGCTGTGCAAATTAAGATTAATTTCTCGATTTAATCGTTAAACTTTTTGATGGATTAAAATTAATTTTGATCGCTAATGAAAACACTCGCCTCTCCGCCGGCTTCCGGGAGTCCCGTC